TACTTTTTCTATGTTTATCTTCGTTGTAAAGAAACAAAGTGGAACCCCTATAACAGTGGCGTAACAATCACCATAGCGACCCGGGCAGCCGCTATGGGGCCCCCGAGGCACAGGGGGGCCTGGCCAGGTCATCCCCCTGATGCTGTGCGGGCCGCCTGGGTCGCTATGGCATTTCAGGCTGCTGGCTGTCACTGGTGGCTGTGAGGAGAAACATGCAGCCATTCAGATGTGCAGCGGCGCGTACCTCCTCACAGCTGCTGAGTCGATGACAACCAGTAGCTTCGGGGAGGTGGCTGCGCCTGTCGTCGGCAGCTATGGAGGAGGCGGGGCCCAGCGATGGAGGAGGCAGGTCTTAGCAATGGGAAGGCGGGCCCGACAATCAAGGAGGCGGGGTCCAGTGATGGAGGAGGCGGGGCCCGCAAGCGATTGTGGAGGAGAAGGAGGCGGACAGAGGATCAGCCAGACAGGTAAGAGGGCTTGACCGCCCACCTGAGACCCTGCAAAGCTCACCATAGAGAGTCTATAGTGGGCTCTGCAGGGACACCCTCAGGTGGGCTGTTTGGGGTTATCAGATGGACTTATCTAGAAATCACAGGGCCCCATACAAGATTGTGCTATGGGGCCCTGTGATTTCTAGTTACGTCCCTACCCTATAACAGACACTGATCAACCAGATAGGGCTATACAGTAGAGTAAATGTATTAAGCCCCACTGGCTGTCAAAATACCTGAACAATCTGATTGCAAGCAGGCCTTGTTCAGGTATTGTGGCAGCCAGCGGGGCAGACTAGCAAGATACTGAAGCTGGGCCCAGTGGGAGATTCCTCCATCCACACAGTTTAGCGTAGATGGAGGAATTTGTTGCACTTTTTCCATCTGACCATAGAAAATCTGCAGATAATCTATAGGTGTATGGCCAGCTTTATACTACACCACAGTAGAAGGCACAGCACCTGAAAATCCATTTTAGTCTATATGCCTTGTTTTTTTTACAGTTCATAAAAACACATGTGTATATGCATTTTCGTGTGCTTTAGGACAGTGTTTTTCAACCTTTTTTGTGCAAAGGCACACTTTTTTCATGAAAAAAATCACGAGGCACACCACCATTAGAAAATGTTAAATTTTTTTACCTCTGTGCCTATATTGACTATATATAAAGTAATTCTCTTGAATAGGAATCAAATAAACACAAAGAAATTATAAGGCCAAATTTCAACTAAATAAATTTCAGGAGCATAAAAAAAAATGTGCAAAGTCTTACAAGCGTCCTCCTGTGACCTAAAGCTCAGTATACCACGAGCTACAGCTCGCGGTATACTGAGACTGCCACAGTCGGGACGGATCCCGACATTACTGTCGAGATTCACCCAGCTGTGTAATGTTCGCTCACTTCCCAATCTATTGAGCCGACGTGTAACAGTTTCATTGTCACACGTCGGCTCGAACTATGAGGTTGAGTGAAAATCACTCGCCTCATAGTTCTCCTTTAAAGTTCAGTTGGGCTCTAAATGCATTGCAAAGAAAGTTCTCCACTTGAAACGAGGTCACTTTTTATTGGCCGTTGATACTACATAGTATAATATACTCATGCCATCTATAGGAAGAGAACAAGATACACAATCAACCAAATGTGAAGATTTAAAACCAATCAAAGATCGAAAGAGGAGGCGAGTAAAGAAACTGTCTGAGGGCCTGTTCACATGATATCAGGTCCTGATCAGGTGCGGATCTGCAGACGCGGTGCTACTGATGCAGTGCGTTTTTGCCGCGTTTCAGTTAAAACATTTTTTTTTTTGCTGGAGTGGGGCTGTCAGTATGTTAGCTGCAGTGCAGTGCATTTTTGATGTGTTTTTTGCGTTTCTGGTCCGTTTCCTGATCGGACAAAATGTGACATGCAGTATTTTTTCTGTCGTAACCTGAACGGACTGCGCACGTGAGAACTGTAGCCCATAAAACACATAGGGATACATTTTTAGTGCAGGAGCGCACGGATCAGGTCAGCACAGAAAACGGACGTCGTGTGAACAGGCCCTAAGGGCCGGTTCACACCATATCCAGTGTGTTCTGGAACGGTTAGTGGCCAGAACACACTGGATCGCATAATTAAAGCCTCTCGTGTTCTGGGGTGGTCATGTCAATGGTACCGCAGACACGCCTCCTGCATGAACTTTTTTTTTTTGCGCTCACACTGCACCTGACAACGGGCATTGCGGTATCACGTGTTCTGGTGTGGGCAATCACACTGCAGGCAGGAGGCATGTCTGCAGTGCTATTGACCTGAATGGCACCACGCGGCCCCCTCCCACCCGAGAACGCAGGAGGCATTAATTACGCGAACTAGTGTGTTGCAGCCACTAACCGTGCTGGAACACACTGCATATGGTGTGAACCGGCCTTTAGGGGAGATTTCTTCCCTATCCTGTTGTGTCCCAGGAACAGGAAGTGAAAGGGGTGGGGGGATTCTGTCCACTGTGAATAATCATATTTGAGAATATTTTTTTATTCAATTTTCTAAAGCGCTATGCAAACTGTCGGCGCTGTATTAATCTTGTATCATGAAAAAATATTATTATTAATAATAATAATAATAATAATAATAATTATTACTGAAAAGAAACAGGCACAGAGCTTTAAGAAACGTTCCTAAAATATCTGCAATGTATTTATTTCTCTTAAAGGATTATCTTTTTAAATTTAAATATGCGAGTTACCTTCCCAAAAATGTCTCCAACTTTAGCTTCCAGGTCTTCTAGCGCAGACGATCGGGACTGCAGGGACTGGTACTTCTGTTCAAGAAGGGTAAAGTTTTGCGACTGCTGAAATACCATCCTAAAACATTAAAGAAAATATGGTAATGACATGTGACAAAGAGTCATTCATTCATTCATTAAACTCAAGCACTGGCATGCGAGAAATGCTTTACATAATCTACACATTTGCTGTCCCCGGTTTTTATGAAATAAAAGCATTGGCATCAGTTTTTGGAATTCTGTCAACTTGGTTTTTGCTAATCATACATGCTTCAGTGACAAGCTGGATGTGCACCCAAGGACCATTGTGGCAGAGTCGACCAGCCTGAAGATGTAACATTCATTCACACATAATACAGTACATTATAACTGCACTGCAATTTCAGGGAAAAACAAAAAAACTCTTTGGCCTTCATTTATAAAACCCAGGCTAGCCGTTCACACGGCATTAGCACCCCTAGATGCTGAGTAGTGGCACAGGAATTCTTATACTCGTCAATGCCACATAGGGGCACTAGCGCCCAGCGGACATTTTATAAATGAATCCCTTTGTGTTCATAAGTGTATATGGCTATAACAGTCATACACATGGCTGAAAATACTAGGAGCTGTGTGCGGCTTTTCCGCCTCAATGGTGGAGCGCCAGTACGTTAGTTTAAGTTTCTGGAATGGGAAGTACAAATGTGAAAGATCCCACCCCCCATTTATAGCGGAGAGCCAAAATTGCTAACTGCTGCATTGTTATTCCATACCTGCATTTTACAGCCCATTCATAAAGTGCATACGGTTCCATGGAGTCTGCAGTATGTCACTGAGTTCTTTGCTTTCTGAAGTGGAGGAGAGGCTGGCCACTACAGGTCATGTGACCAGGCTCTCCTCCCCGCTTCTTTTTTTACACTCATTCATTTAAATAGTGTTCCACTGGCTGTAAAGTCACTGTGCTTTATTAATGTGGCATTTTCTTCTATTTTTTTTTTAAAGCAGAGTAATGCCATACCGATAATGTCTAAATACCAACAATACTACAAGGCAGAATTGAAAAGTAATGGGGGGAGTAAAATGTACTCTTCCCAATATTTATAATCGACACCGGCCCTATAGAGATCGAGAACGGAGCGATCAGAAACTGCTGATCGCTCAGCTCACGACTAAGGATGGGCTGCATGTTCTAGCGTTCGCCGAACGCCGAACATTATGGGATGTCCACGGTCTGTTCGACCCCGGCACATCCCACAATGCACAGCGCCGTCCGAAAACGATAATTGGCTACAGTCCTGCACCTGGGTGCAAGACTGTGCCAATCAGGGCTCAGTACAAATGTAGAGCCATGATTGGGCAGAGTCATGGCTCAGACTTCACCCTGCAGAGATCAGTGACGGTCAGTCACCGCTCCCCGCAGGAATTTTCTCTCCCCTCTCTCTGTTCTTTCAGCGATGACTTGAAGCTGACACCTTTTTTCTTCATAATACTAGGTGAGGCTCTGCCTCACGTCCCTGCTGTGGACCATGCTTGTGCAATGAGTGTCAGCACAGCCACATGAAGTCTCCACAAAGGAGCGCATATGACAGGGTGACAACACAGGAGAACGTCTGGTTATCTCCACATAACAGGAAGTCACTGAAAAAGGACCTTCATGGCAGGATCACAAGGTTGTATTTTAATGATAGCTGCAGGTTCAAAAGAAAAAAGGATTAGAACTCCTCTCGGGTTTTGCTGCTATCTGGGGGGCTGTAGGAGAAATTTCCCCTCACCTATTATTCTGGCGACAACAGTTTCACCAGATAGGAAGTGAGTGAATGTCTTCAACTGCAACAGATAATTTAATACATTTTATTTTCAGTAGAGGAAGGCTAGTCCCAGTCAGCTCTGTACGGCTGAATGTGAAATAAGGGGCAATAGGGTTTTGATTCGAATCCATTCTATCCAAACCTTAAATAAAAAAGTAAAATAGTCTTGACAGTTTGCAGGGGTAGCCAAACTCCAGCCCTTCAGCTGTGGTGGAACTACAAATCCCATGAGGCATTGCAAGAGTCTCACAGCCACTGACATGACTCCCGGAGAGAGATGCATCATGGGATTTGCTTGAGGGCCGAAGTTTGGCTACCCCTGGTTTAAAGCATAACTAAACTGAAGAAAAAGAAACATTTAATATATTGCAGCTTACCAGTCCTTACATGTGGTGGCTGCATTAGTTGTCTTTTTTTCAGCCTTTTTATTAGCTTTATTTTCCCCTAGTGATCCTGCCAGTAACACACTTCCTGTCCTAGGGTGACAACACTCTCACTAACTAGCTGAAAAGAGAATCTGATTGGTTGTTATGGGCAACTGCTCCAAATTCTATATGCTCAATTTCTGACGGCTGGACAAATCCCAGGAGCCCGGTAGCCAATGCTCCTCAAAAATTACAGCTCGACACCCAACGTTTGAGGTTTGTTATCAATGAAGCTGGCTACTAAAAAAAATCCTGCTGGCTCCTGGATTGGACAGAAAGGCTCCCGAATTCCATATTCAATTGCCAACCCCTGATGTACTGGATCTATGGAAGAACAGTGACACTAGGACAGGGCTATACAGCATTTCCCCTATCCTCATCTCCATAACATAGGGGGAATAAGTTCTGTAGTCTACAGAGACAGCTGGGAACAATACTAACTGATACAAGTGCAGACTAGGCAGACGGCACAGGAAGTTATAAGCTGGCATGATTTCTGGCAGGATCAACAGTTACTATTCTGCACTTATCCAAACTCCAATGGTATATTTGACAGACCAAAAGGGAGCAAACAAGAGAAGTTCATTGTTAGGGTTTACATCCAAGTAACAGACGACCCGTACAGATCCGTGCTGCGTGCATAGCTGTATCGGGCAGCTCCCGGGAAGGAAAGGTGCTGCGTGTGATTTGTACGCAGCAGCCTGTTCTTCTCTATGGGAGTACGCGGCCGTACGCCACCCTATGCTCACCTGAACTGCATGTCCATGTGGGTGCGGCTGTCCGTACTTGTACGCAGACAGGATGGATCTATATATGAAACACTCACCATGTCAAAGTTGCACAGAGTGCCAGACACAAGCAGCACAGCAGGGTCCTGACATCAGGGCACATGGACCGACTTGCAGACACCGACGAGGCTGCCACCAGCTTTCCAGGATTGTCATCGTTTGCCCGCTGTCCTGCAGCAGTACCACTCCGCTGGGTATCCTTCGCTTCCTTGGAGGTTGGGGAGCCCCCCTTCTTCCTCTGCTTCACTTCACCAGACATTGTACAACACACACCAACTGCTAACTATACATAGAAAGCTATTACATCAAATATATAGATCCTGTCCCTTCAAATCTGTACAGACCTACAGCAGACAATAATGCATTGTTTACATAATCAGAGGGTAGGATTCTAAAGTAAAACTAATCACAACAAAGTAACAAAAAGTTGTTCCAAAGTTAATTTTTTGCTGACAAAATGTAACAGATTTGGACTGGGAAAGCCTTTGATTCCCCTGCCAGGATAATTAACCCCTGATCTGCTCTCAGCACCAAATGTAGCAGCCCCCCTCCCTGTCTATGTGGCAGCCAGAATGATCCTCCCTACACTACACTGGGCAGCTGGCTTTCGGGATAAGCCTGCTACGGGGGGCATAAATGAGTATTAAATACTGCGTTGCTAAGCAACTTTTTAATATGCAGCAATGCATGACTTATGCATACAAATGCTTATAAAGTCAGCTTCACACTTCACAAAGCATATCTGAAGAAAAGCTGGCCACTGGGAAAGTTAGTTTTGATGTAGGGATAAGGATGCTGAAGCAGTGGCGGACATGTTGAATTCTGGCAGATGCCTCATAGAAAAGTGCGATTCGACGCAAAATTCTAATCCAGAAGAAGCTCACTGCCAATATTCAGAAACTGCACAAATATACACTAGCATCAAATAGATTTTCTGATTTTCCTCTGGTGTGAATCTGAAGTAAATTTGCCCTCATTAAAGATGGCCGATCAGCGCTTGCTATGTGGCTAGAGAGTGGCGGAACGTTCGCAGTGCAGCACCTGAACTGGAGGGAAGGTTTTAGTTGGCGGACTGCTCAGCATTGGTGCTCTTCCATGTGTTGATGCTGCAGGAGAGGCAGACATGGAGGTGTTAGCAGAGGAGTTTGGGGAACTCAGTCAGCAGCAGCTTATAGCTCCTGTGGACACAGTGGAGGTGAGACCTCAGCCTTCTAACGGCATCTGTCATGTTATTTATGGACAGGGTTTTATTTATTATTTTACTGTGTTGACATCTGTCACTCAGTAAGTAAATTGTCTGACATCTGTAGTAATACTATTATTTTAAACTAAGTTAAGGTCTACAAGTTCTTTATGTATTCTGTATACTGTGAGAGGCATTAAAGTAATATCTACAGTCACAAATGTTTTCTTAAATATAGTATAGACATTGAACTTCAAAATCATTTAAACTATTTGCACTGTTGAATTAAAATGTGACATCTGCAAAGAAAAAAAAAAATCCTTCCGGTGCCCAATCATATCGGACATATATACACTACAGTGCCAAAAGTATTGGGACACCCCTCCAAATCATTGGATTCAGGTGTTCTGTGAAATTTCTTTGCTACTAAATATTCCACGGTCACCTGTTAGTGGTATTATAACAAAGTGGAAGCAACTGGGAACAACAGCAACTCAGCCACAAAGTGATAGGCCAGTTAAAATTACAGAGTGGGGTCAGCACATGAAGCGCACAGTGCGTAAAAGTCGCCAACTGTCTGCAGAGTCAATAGCTACAGACCTCCAAACTTCGTGTGGCCTTCAGATTGGCACAACAACAGTGCGTAGAGAGCTTCATGGAATGGGTTTCCATGGCCGAGCAGCTGCATCCAAGCCTTACATCACCAAGTGCAATGCAAAGCGTCGTATGCAGTGGTGTAACTCCGCCACTGGACTCTAGAGAAGTGGAGATTCGATGGACGTGTCTGGGTTTGGCAGTTGCCAGGAGAACGGTACTTGCCTGACTGCATTGTGCCAAGTGTAAAGTTTGGTGGAGGGGAGATTATGGTGTAGGGTTGTGTTTCAGGGGTTGGGCTTGGCCCCTTAGTTCCAGTGAAGGGAACTCTTAAGACATCAGCATACCAAGACATTTTGGACAATTTCATGCTCCCAACTTTGTGTGAACAGTTTGGGGATGGCCCCTTCCTGTTCCAACATGACTGCGCACCAGTGCACAAAGCAAGGTCCATAAAGACATGGATGAGTGAGGTTGGGGTGGAGGAACTTGATTGGCCTGCACAGAGTCCTGACCTCAACCAGATAGAACACCTTTGGGATGAATTAGAGCAGAGACTGCGAGTCAGGCCTTCTTGTCCAACATCAGTACCTGACCTCACAAATGCGCTTCTGGAAGAATGGTCAAACATTCCCATAGACAAACTCCTAAACCTTGTGGACAGTCTTCCCAGAAGAGTTGAAGCTGTTATGGCTGCAAAGGGTGGGCCAACCCAACATTGAACCCTACGGACTAGACTGGAATGCCATCAAAGTTCATGTGTGTGTAAAGGCAGGCGTCACAATACTTTTGACAATATAGTGTATTTTGGATGAATATTTAAAGTGTATTTCCACTTTTGCAGCCAAATTTGGATAACACCTATTTTATATTTGTTACATGTTCCCCTTCACATAGCAAAACAAATTGCTGCTTACATTTTACTTACTGAAAAATCATATCTGTTTACTGTATTTAACCCTGTCTGTACTCTTTTGGCAGATCTCATTATCAGTTGTAAACTATATTTCAACAGTGTGTGCGCAAAGGGCTAATGAAGAACTCCCGGAAAGTAAAAAAAACATACACTTGCTGTGAAGCTACCCCCTCACTGCAAAGGTTAAGTGCTTGTTCTGTCTAGGGTGCTCAAAAAAGCAGTTTTATTCACCCAATCCTTGCCCCCACGGCGGTCACCTCTTTCCCCCTCTTCTCTGGCTATGAAAATTCCCTTGGTGTTCTCACATTCAGTGGACCTGCATAAGATGTGATGATGCCAGCAGTCCTCAGACTGATGGAGACCAGAGGCTGCTATGAGTGGTCTGGCAGCCCAGAGGAAGCCAGTTGTACTGAGGATCAGGTAAGTTAATCTGCCCCCTGACAAAACAAGCACTTATCCCTTGCAGTACGGGGGTAGCCCCATGAAAAGGTACTTTCAATTTATTTTTTATAATTATATAAAAGAATTATAAAAAAAATATTTATAATTTTTATAATTCTTGTTGTTCTTTAAAGATCTCAGGGTTTGCATTTTATGTTAATGTACTGTAAAAAAAAAACTGTCCTTGTCTGTCCCTTATCTCCACATTTCCTTCTATTATCCTCCTCCAAAAAAAAATATAGAAAGGTAAGAAACTTTTTAAAATTATTTTTAGGTGGGCTGGGAATGGAAAGGCGGAAATACTTTAAAGGGAATTTGTAAAGATTAAAGTGAACCTGTGGCCTTCCAAAGTAACTGGCACTCCATCACTGGCCCTTTTTTGCTGTTTTTGGCACACTGACCTTGAAAATCATGGCACACATCAGGTTTGTATCGGTAGAGCTCATGAAGACTTCGGGGTCGTAAGTAACTCTGACCACAAGTAATGGTCACTCACATATAAAGTGTATTTCCACTTTTGCAATGAAAGTTGGGAAACTCCTTTTATATGTTTGTGTTCCCATTCACACAGCATACCTAAAAAAAAAAAGTATTTTTGCCTTTTTATTTGTGTATTTGGAGCAGGATTATTCACAGGACTCTACTGACAGCTTCTATTGCTTTTGAAAATATGGCAATATGGAGATAAGGGACAGTCCGGAGACTGAGAGAGTACACTAACACACAATGTACCACCCAAGTCTTGAGATCTTTAAACCATTGTTAGAACTGACAGTGTGAACATCTGTGCACAAATTGTTATCTCAGTATGGCTGCAAAAGGGAATGGAAGGCAAATGGAACAATACTTTAAAAGAGAAATAAAGCTTCTCCTGTACTCCTGCTTACTATATGCTGACCGTGCAAAGCAACCCTGCAGCCAGAAAGAATCCTGACAATTTTGTCAGCATCCACCCTGCTGCCTGATTGACAGCCCCCTCCCTTAGGGCCTGTTCACACGACGTCCGTTTTGTGTGCTGACCGGCTCCGTACGCTGCTGCACTCAAAATACATCCCAATGTATTCCTATGTGTTTTATGGGCTCCAGTTCTCACGCGCGCAGTCCGTTCAGCTTACGACAGAAAAAATACTGCATGTCACATTTTGTCAGGTCCGGAAACGGTCCGGATACGCAAACGCGCACGAAACGCAACGAAAACGCAACAAAAATGGAACGGAAACGCAACGCAATGCAGCTAATGGGGAAAAAAAAGAAAAAATTGTATTCTTGCTCCACTTATTATGATGTCATCAACGTTGACAAAAAATTAACTGTCAGCATCCGGACCGAAAACGGATCAAAAACGCACTGCATCAGCAGCTCCACGTCTGCTGATCAGCACCTGATCAGGACCTGATCTCATGTGAACAGGCCCTTAGAGGGAAGGGGCAAATCCCTGCTGGGAGTGGTGACTGAGTGATGCCACCTTTCTCTGCAGTGGGAAGAACGTAAGCTGAGCGTTCAGCGGTTCGTGATCACTCAGCTCTTGTTATAGAGCCGGCATGATACAGCTGCGGTGCCACACGCAGGCTCTAAGTTTTGGGAAGAGTATATTTTACTTTCCCAATACTTTTCCGAGAAAGTGAGGAAAAGGTAAGTCTGTTTCCTTTTTTGTTGGTTTAGTGCAGCGTTTTAGCATGGGGGAGCTCACTTAGGCCCCATTCACACCAGGGCGGTAGCGGTTCACCACAGTTTCTGCATGATTTTTAAAAGGGCATTTTTAATCATGTTTCAGAGCTGAAACGCAATTAATAAAGCGCTGATCAGCGTATTTCCATTGAAATTTATATAGAAAACGTGCTGATCAGCGCTGAAAAAGTAGCTCAGGAATCAGTTTGGGCGGCCGGCGGTTCAAAACACGCAATTGTTTGCGTGAATGGGCCCCAAAGGAATATATGTGGGGTTTTTTTTTGTACTGTTGGCGGTTCAGCGTGGAAAAATCAGTGTGACCGAACCGCTCTGGTGTAAACGGGGCCTAAAGAAGTAGACCGTGCTCTTTTAGTGGTCTGTTTAAGCCATTGTTATAAATGCATTTCATATAAATATTTTGCTGTGTTTTACAGGAGAAATGGAAACTGCTTCCAGCTTTTCTCAAGGTAAGCAAAACTGCTATCTCAACTGCACACAAGTA